ATTCTTTAAGAAGCAGAACTAGGCCTGCCCATTTGCAAACAACAAATTTTCGCAAACTATGCGCTGTGCAGGCATTAGATATCGCCGGAGATCAGGTAGCGCCCAGTTGTGAAGAATTCAGGTTAAGATTAGAAACCTTCTAATTCCAAAAGACAGAAATTCCTTCAGTATCTCCATCGTTTAGTACTTGTCTACTCTAGCAATAGTGCGAATTGCATTTTGGGATAGAATATGGTCTCACTATGGTTGAAATGGCTGCTGTCATTATATTGCTGGAATGTATTAAAGCTGCTGGGTAAGATGAAATGCGACCTGAAAACTATTGAATAACAACGTAGAAAATTCTTGATCGTCGTAATCACCGATGGATTTACATCGCGCGTAAGATCTATTAAAATATATCCCAACGTTTTAGATTGAACAGGATTCATCGTCAGGGATCATGATGGCCATTAAATTCATGTATAATTGCTCAGAAGTCTGTCTGGATCAGTAGCAAGAAGATGATTTTTTCAAACTCTTGTTGGTCTTCAGCTAGAGTGGATATTGTGTGCTCTCTCTCCTACAGGGAAATATTTTATAGAGCTTGCATCTTCTACACTTAAGGAACAAGCCATGAGTGGGGTGTTTGTGAACTACTCAGTTTTCATATTGTGGTTCATCGAAGAGCTCTTCTTTTGGTAGCGTCGTAACATGTCGACTTTAGGAGTATATATGAATGAATGCCGTACGCAATTAGGCAGATCAGCCTCTACATTATCTGTCTCTTTTCTCCATTAACTAATTTCAAATATCTAAACTGCACTTGCAGGAACAACGCCGGTATTCACACAAATTTCACAAAATGTAACATGCTCAATAGTTGACGTCTTTAAAGTGCATATTCACATGTGCTACTACTGGCAATCGTGCTAGTAATGATATCGAAAACCGTTAAAACGCAGAAACTGCGGATTGTGCATTTGCCGTCGTAGAGCTTTTACACGGGGTAGATGCAGACCACCTGATTAACGCAAACTCAAGCAGATCAAATTTAGAGGAGGAAATTGTAGGGCTGAAGTACTTCTGATTGGCACTCGACTTTTTCTAAAATTGTGCAAGGTAGATTGATAATCACACGACAAATGCACGTGCATATGTTCAGCAACAGCCATTATTTGCAGCATTGTCTATAATATTCAAATATTTTTTAAATCGAATTGCAAGTAACAATGGCACTACCGAAGTCCATCCTAATTGCATTCTTTTGTACCTTTCTTGAAACGGCGGCTTCTGAAAATTGAATTCTTGAACTAAGTCAACAGTTTACAGTGAAGAACAAAATTTTCCTTGCAGCCCTACTTTCGTCTTTTTTCGTGGTTTCTGTTTGCGTTTCAGTCACTTCTTACTGTACTACAACAGTTGGCAAAAACTTTGATCGAGCGAAAATGATGCCTTATAATTGAAAGCAACCTATTTTTAATTTATTTTTACATTGGATCGCGACAACTTTCTTTCAAGTTTGATTGACACTCCAGTCTTTTTGTGAACAACGTTGAATGATTTTGAAACAGGGTAAGATATCAGAAATGAGTTGTCATGCAAATTGCCAAACGAGTATCTAGTCTGCAATGATGGCAGAAACACGCCAAAAGTGTTTGGAAAAGTTCTGATATCACTGCTATTAAATATAAGTTTTATGACTCAATCTAGCGCCAGTTCGTCTTCGCTGATAAGCAGCTTAATGATAACTTCGATTCGCGACGAGTTGTTAACTTACAGTCGCACATCTCGTAAAAGAACGAGCTTCTGAACGTGGCGTTTTTCTGCGTTGTACAAGCTGGATGAACAAAACAATTTTGCTATCTTGCAAATCTAACATATCACACGGGCATGTCTAATATGTTTACGCGCATTGTTCTCATGACTTCCTTCATTTTCGCTTTTTCACCTCTCATTGTACAAGCAAAATTTCTTTGGAAAAGAATCAGGAGGTCATGGAACGACGCAGACGGTTAATCAATTGAAAACGAGCAGCGAAATATGAAGTGCGGGCAACTTGCTAAAAGTTCTAAGCAGATGGAGAATAAACTGTGTCTGAAATTATTCATGGCTCCCGTTAATGTTCAAACTCTCGAAAGTTCCAAGGAAGGCTGACAATCATACAGGCTTAGACTGCGGACCAAACAGAAAAGTAATGGACAGCGTTTCTTCAGTTATTACAACAATAGTAAAACTACATATAATGGTTAATAAAGTTATCACGTGGCCGTAGACGACGATTTGAACATTACAGTTATTTTCTTCTAAAAAGCAATTAAGGTTGAACAAAGGACTGTATACTAGAATAGACCCAAAGAGAAATCAGAGATATAAAAAACTCTCTGAACTGAAATATCTGAGAAAATAAGCATAAACAAACAACTTGTTAGATTCAACAAAGCGGAAACGTGGGTCACTTAATTTTGTGTAAAACGTGAAACCTTATAGCGTTCTAGTTGCAACGCTTGAAGACAGTAGTCCCTTAACTGTTAAACAATAAGCCGTTATGTGTACTCTCGCTGAGGCATCAGAAGAAGAGTGAAGTTCTTGTCCCCCTCATTAGCAAATGATTTTAAGCTCAAATTTGTGCTGTGTGCCGCGACTTAGCGTGCTGTTATTTCCGTTATCCAATCATTATCTTTCATCAAAAGGATAATCGGAAAGGAGAATCGGCCGTGGAGGATGATGATGGTGATGATGATGTAAAATGGCATCCATTTACTTATAACGCAGACACTCATTCATTTTCTCGGCTCGTTATTCCATGGGCATTACAATTACTGCAGATTCTAGTAGTCTCTTGAAACAGGGTTTTCGTTTCTTCCGGTTTTTCGCCATTCAGGAAAACACTAAAGTGCGACATTACCAAATGTTCGTGTAGCTTCGCGACGAAAATCCATCATGTTACTTTTCTCTGGAGCTTTCACTGCGTTCCCAAGTCATCGTTGTTGTATTCTCGTTGAAGATAAAGAGGTTCACAAGCAGCGATTGAATGAATTCGGGGCAAGATCCGCAACTAATTTGCATTTTAAACCGGCGAACCTTACGTGATGTAAGTTAAATTGACTGTTATGACCCCTTGTTACGATGACGACCCTTCTTAGTATTAAGTTAGTCGCACGATATGGGAAAATAGTTCAGCCATGTTTGAACATCGATGAAATCACAGGTGTATATTAGTTTAACAAAACATCAAAATTCTTTCGTGTATACAGCAGTTTCAGAAATAATGCGATGCAGAAGCTATCAACACCTAGAGCGGTGTGTCATCAGATGTCAGTTGATGTCTAACTGCAGGTTTCATTTTGTTTATTGATTTGTTTATTTATTATGCTACGCGTCCACTCTGATGAAATTACTTCCAAAACTTTGTCTATCACTAGGTGGCTTTTTTCCTCACTGTTTTGCTTGAATTGCATTATATGCAGCTATTCTTCACGATACCTTCCTTCGCTACGTCCGAATCCTTTTATCGGTTCGGCTTTGCGCGCCTTGGTACCTGCGGTCTCTGTCTTGCTTCCTGTAGAGGGTTATTGATGCAGGCGCAATTTGTGCGGTATGCAGTCCTAACTATTCTTGTTCCGGTTTAACTGTTTTTGATTCTGTTACCGGCTGATTTGTTTATTATATAGAAACATACCTTCGATGTTATGGGTTTGCTAGCAAACTGCTAGTTTTCAATACCGCCGGTAAGAATGACATTCTCCTGTCTATTCTCTAAATTCACACATCGTGGTCGCAGCATCCCGTTGCTTTTAATGCCCTAGAGGAGAGTTTCGGCAGGCCATGATTCCATGTGTTTTTTTGCGCCGTGCGAGCCCGGAGAAGTTCCCGAATGTTTTGTTTTCCGGCAGTATTGAAAACTTGGAAACCCATAATACGAAGGTTCATTTTTATTGTATTTGCAACGAATCAACTTATGTTCGAAAATGGCTTTGTGGTGCTTTGTGCACAACAAAATGGTGCTCTTTTGCGCGCATGCACTGCAGTCGCGAAAACGTTGCCTGAATGAACGGTCCCCTAGGTTACTAGGTTTTAGCGAATTAGAATAGCGTATAATAGCATCAACTCTATTCAGAGTATAGTTCAAATGAGAGTTTCTCATCACTTCTCTCGTATTGGCCGGTCTCCTGAGTGGCATGGTATTCAGCTTTGTAGGTTTGTGATATTATCTCTTCAGATTCTTATCGGCCTCTCGTCTGTGGTGCACGTTTCATGCCTTCGCATTCATTGTTACTGCGTGGGAAAAATGTTTTTGAAGAGAATTTTGAGTTTATTTAAGACCCACGTGTCGACTATTTGGTATATAAATTCTTCCAGGATATTCGCCACATTATTCTATCTATAGTCGCATTTCAGACGCTTCAGCAGATTTGAATTTCGCATGCTTGTAAGTCTTTCTTTCATACTCAGTCTAAATATAAGTGCTAATCTGTTTGATGCATTTGCGATTGCTTTAATTTTTAGTCAGTTTTCTTATGTGAATTTTTCTGATATAAATGAATGAATTCATTTACGGGTACAATGGAAAAATTAATTGTCTTATTCACTTAAAACAGATCTGGCATTTGAGGCCATTGGACACATTTTCGCGAAGGTTTGTAGATTTGAACATACGACGAAATGGATATGAAAAATAGTCCTTCAATTTCGTCGTCTGTCACATCAAGACATTCAAATATTGAATGAGTTAATTACGATTCAAGTTCATTTCCCACTCACATCGTTTGTTTAAGGAACGTAGGCTTTTTTTGAAATGAGAATGTATAATGAGTCCGTTTTTTCAGCCTGGAGTTATCTAAAAGATGGTGGCGACTGCTCTGCATATTTTCTTTAATCGAGACTGTAGCCGTCGTTGTGATTATTATGCACTTTCTGGTGATTATTGAATTCTCTCTCTGTAGCTTTACAATCGTTCGATGGATTTTTCGATTCAGTGGCTGATGCTGATTGGTTCGTGTATCGCCGTACACGAACCGGTCAGCAATAAAGTGAACACTGGTGCGGCAGCTGGGACGAAAACGAAAGACATTCGTGATTACACTGATGCGGACATGGAGCGACTTTACGAAGAATGGGAGGTAACCATATATGCCATATACTGGCATCCTGAAAGTTTGCGGTTTACAGGCTGGCAGCGAACCTTTAGAGGAGGACGAACTTCCGGAGTGGAAACGTCCGCCCCCGAAACAGTCATTCGATCCATCCAAGGTTTCCAACCCAGAAGAGCTAGTAAGAGCTTCGAAAAAGAGTCGTACTCTTATGATGTTCGTAGGCGTTTCCGGAACTCCTTCTCGTGACGAACTCGAGGATATAACCAAACTGTGGCAAACCAGTTTGTTTAACGCACAGATCGATGTGCAAAGGTAAGCATGGTGCGATTTCAGCAAGAAGGCTTTTCATGACGAAACGTTTCTCGAAACTCTGCAATGACTGCTAATCATGCAGTTTACTTAATTATGAAAGGTTTGCATTATACATTTGTTTGATTTAATGTAGTAATTTGACTTATCAGTGATCACTCTTGGTGATTCATCAGACAGACCCCTCAAAGTTTATCATCAGCTGGTGAAACATGTTTTCGTACATGAGTGTGCATCTTAAAATGCGAGCAAAGTCTGCTTCCGGGTGCTTTAATAGTTTTCAGTGCTACGGCAAACAGCTTAGTACCATCTCCGACCTTGTCTGCAAACAGAGACTCGCTGTTATCTTCGTAGTGTTTTCTCAGAGGACGACCACAGGGCACATAAACAGGACAGCTTTCTCGATCAGGTCCACTGATTACGCAACAGTTTAATGCAGCCACCGAAAGATCAATCAGGCATTTTGGCGCAGTGGTCCCAAAGCTGACCACCCCCTACGGGTGATAAAGACGATGACAAAAAGAGGAAGGAAAGTTCGTAACCATTCGAATATCGGTCTTTCTTTACTCTTACATGGTGATGTCAATTTTGGTACTCTTGTTTTCATGCATTTAATCTTTATTTTCATGTCATCAGCCCGGAGTGCTTTACTTTTAAAGGCAGAATGGACAGTAGCTATGTGACAAGCATATTTTGCATTCTCCTTTTTTCTTCTGGCTTATTTATCAGAGCTGTTCTCATTTACTAACCTCGGAACCAAGAAAGACTGGTAATTCCATAATCAAGAGAATTTGTAGTAAAAAGAGATTTCCCGCGGCGGAAATCGATCTCAGAACCTCCGAAATTCGAGTTCGAAACCGACGTCTTACGCACGGTGCAACCACTGATAGACTGAAGGCTGTCACGGATCCAGCAGCAGTCAGCCAACGAGAATATAAGCATCCCTGTTATTTTATCCCTTCATTTTGACTTAGTGTGGTTGTACCGACTGGAATTATTGCGCAGGGTATCTGGCCTCATGTTAGCCACAGCATTGTACTCGGTTACGGAGAATTCTCTGAATGCTCAGAGTTCACGGGCCTCTAATATGGAATGGTCTCGAGAAACTCGGACTGCAGTCGGCTGCAGCTTATTGTATACTAGAGATTTTGCTGATAGATAGATGCGATTGTCCACCGCATACTTTTCTTCTTTGTGACCTTGCTAAAGAGCAGCATTGTTTCGCTAGACTTAAGTCTCAGATTATCACGTCAATTGTAATGCTAAAAAGAGCACTTAAATCTGAATCTTCAAATCTAGAAGGAATACTGATTTTTGTTATTATGCTTTACTTTTACATCGAAACGGGTCGGCTGATGGACCAGAGAGATCTCTTGAATTTTTACCGGTTTCGTGGTATAGAAATAATTATCACGAAAGCCATCAAAGAGAGCCAACTTCACTATTTTGTCTTGTCGAAGATCGCCAAAAAATATATACATAAGCATCGTTAGAGATTTGTTTTCTTACAGCTATGATCTTGTTTTGCATTTAGTAGACTACTTTGTACTGTCACGATAAGAACGTGAAAAGCAGTCTTAAAGTGAGGGAATCACTTCTGAACAAAAACACTGACTTTTGGAGGATATCTGGGTTACGCCTTGTGCTGATTCTTACACTGGATAGTCAGCTAGCAGGTAAAACAAGGCACTCACATCGAAAAGCATGGCCGTATACCTCATCCATTCGGCTATGGCGACTCCAGAACGTCATTCTCTCTCTGTTATTCGCGTCACTGATTTACTACCCGTTTCTCAGCTGGTTGCGCCGAAACAATATGGATTAATTTCTTGCTCAAGAGAATTCACGGCTAGGATAATGATTGTCCCCTTAGGATTCGAACCCGGCACTTCCATTGTTTAAAGCTGATCTCAGACACGGTGCCAGTACGCCACCATTTACGACATATTGATGCGCACTTGGCGTCAAGCGTTGCAGTTGATAAACATCCCTTCTTGCCGATGCCGGCATTAAGGGGGCATGATTGAAGAAAGTTCAGTGTAACGTGACTGATGATGAAGAAGCGATAAAATGTTGAATTTATCATTTGTGCATAATCTGCTTATCCTCATAGATATGCGCTGCACTTTCATACTGAGTGGGTGACTAATAACTGTTTTTACTTGTCAAACCTTCGGGTCAGTGGGTTACTGCATTTATCTACGTCGAAAGGGTGAAGGATACAGCCGAAATTCCAACTTATTTCGACTTTAGTCTGACTAAATTACTCTATTCTCATAAGGTAAAAAGGACAGTTCTAGTGAAGGGGAAATGCATTATGAGATAGCCTAGGGGCGGTTTACACAGTATCTCTTTCATCATACAGTGATAACTCCTGACCCTGCCATTTGTGGTGTTGGGAGCATGGAAGCTGTGTGCGTTGCGTGAGAGGAAGGTTGAGAATAAGTGATATCGAGGGCAAAGCCAGACCCTTCCTGGAATTTTAAAAAAGAAATGCTACTTTCCAAGAAGTGAAAGTATTTCAGCGTATTCAAATTCGGAGGTCGTTAGAAAGTATTTGGTGTGATAAAGGTCGATGTAGAACTTAAATCTGCATAAAAGTAGATATCACTTTTAGGAATAAAGTGCCATTTGCATAATAAACTAGTTTTCTGCCGGTTTTTAATGCTCAGCAATATTTATTGAAAAAAATTGCTTTTCGATTGTCATGCTTCGCTGCTTTATCACGCTTTTAAAGTTCTGGTTATTTCTCGATTTCGATTCCAAACCAAATTTTCTTGGCATATTGCACCATTCCTTGCATAATCGGTCTTTTAATCCTTATCATGAGTCTCGTCTCGTCAGCTTGCTGACTGACAGCATGACAAACCGCAATTTTTTTACTTACAACACTTTACATGCCAAACCACTTATTTTTACTTTACTTACTTTATGCGGGAGATGAAATGATGCTTTGGTAAGTCACAGACGGGAAAATAACGCATAAAATGTTTTTTAATTAGCGCCCTCTGACCTTTCGCACGAAGCTCGGTACGTCTTCAGAGTACAGTGAGAAAGGTACGTAATATTTTCGTGCGGGTGTGGTTAATGGTGCCGTGTTTGTTTTCTAGTCTTAATCAGCCGCATGATGTTTGCGGTCCATGGGTCGCTGACGTCTATTCCAAGGTCACGATTGATGCAGTTGGTTGCGTTCATCAATAACGCTTCCTTGACTTTGCGGGAAAGATATTGTTATCGCGTGCCACCTTTCATTCTGTTCCACGATGTTGTGTTAGTGGGTAACAGCATGTTCCTCAATGACACAATTTTTCTCGCATTCTGCCTGTATAAGTTCAGTTTCTCATCTGTCTCCGATCTCTGCCCACTTGCTGTTGACCCCTTTCCTCTAGCATCAGTGTTCTTCCACCTGATCAGATCCTTCATGTGGTCTGTTTTCCTTTCTTCAACCGTGTTACCTGTTTCGCGTATGTAAACCGAATCACAGGAGTACGGGAGTTGGTACACCAGACTGGCTTTGTGCTCCTTAGGTTTCTGGGTCTTGAGGTGACTTAGTCGGCTACGTAGAGTTGCACTAGATTTGAAAAGCAGTTTTCACTCAGTTAGCGCACGTATGGCAAGTTAATGTAAGTTTTATTATCAGGTGAAAGAGGCCCTTTGTTTTGATAAACTTGCCAAACCTTCGTTAACAGTCTTCATATAGCCGTTTTTTGCGTCAGTATGATGTGATTTCTTGGCGAAAATCATCATCTCTGTGCATCTCTTCCGGCCTCTATGGAGAAGTGTATTGACGACGCTTTCCTTTACGCAATCTGGATAAGAAGAGTGATATAGATACCTGTCAGTGTGTGTCTTTTTGCGAAACACCGTGGTCAAATGTTCCTGCTGATGGTGCCTTACTAGCACATCCAAGAAGGGTAGGATACCGTTTTCTTCCATCTCCATAGTGAAAAAGATTAGGCTGCTTAGATGTTTCAGAAACGGCGCTTCCATTTATACAGAGGACAGATATATCATCAACATATCTTTTGAAAAAGGTTGGAAAAGCATCTTTGTCACCCGTCATGAAGGCCAGGTGTTCTAAATGTTCCATAATCATATCAGCCAGAGAAGGGACAGAGGCGATCCCATAAAGATTCCTTTGTACTGACGATATAACGGCCACTGAATTTGAAACTAATGAGACATTATGCCTTTGTGAAACATGCTGTTACCCACCAACACAACATATCGTGGGACAGAATGAAACCTGTCGCGCGAGAACAACAATATCTTTCCCGCAAAGTCAAAGAAGCGTTATTGATCCGCGCAATCAACTGTATCAGTAGTGACCTTGGAACAGACGTCAGCGACACATGGACCGTAAACATCAGGCGGCCGCTGAATACCAGAAAGGAAAACGGCAACAATAACCATCCAGGTTAACCAGACCCGCATGAAAATATTATGAACCTTTCTCGTTGTACTCTAAAGAGCTGGGTTCGAAACAGCAGATGGTCCTAATTAAAGACCATTTTATGCGTTGTACATATGTGTTGTAGTTTTACATTTCCCTGGGTAACATGTAACAGCAACAGTTTTTTGCAAGATTCCGACGTTTGTTGCATAACGTTTGTTTCTGATCAGCCAGCTTTCGTGTACATAGAGCATAAGCTCAAAGCTAGCCGTTTCGCCTTGTTGCTGTGACTTCCTTTACTGATTAGCTGTTGTCTGTTTCCATTTTTGTTATCAGTTTTTTGGTTTCTAATACGTGTAATAGAAGTTAAAATTCTTTACATGATAGCGTCTGTTCACGAACTTTTATTTTGGTTTGTTCTTTGTAGCGTTTACTTAATTGTTTTTAGGTTTATCATAGACGATCATCGCGCGATTTTCATGTTCAGCGACGGCGCAGCGGCTTGGGATGCAAAAGAGTATTTGATAAATCAAGAACGCTGTTCAGAAGTTACGATCGAAGGTCGCAGTTATCCCGGAAAGGGCGCGAAGGCGACGAACAAAGACGAGCTGTAATGATTATGCAGTTAAAAGCGATGAAACGACCATTAAGATGAAAGGTGCCTATGCTGTACGTAGAATGCAGTTTCATGCTTTCTTCGGATCTTTCTGCTTGTAAACAGGCTAGATAGCAAACAAGTTAATGAACTTATATCATATGAGGAATAAATATCATTGAAACTGTTTCAGCCACTAGTACGGATATACATATTTATACATGAAGGATATAACTGAATCAGAATCATGTGGAGGACAAGGATGCGTCAGCGATGATAACTATATGGAACAGGTTTCTTCTGCCAGTACTCGTCTTTAATGGTAAACCCGTCGATGGTTGCTGTGAGGTGCTTCGTGGGAATATATCCAAACTGCTTGGCACCGGAGTCGTACCTATAAATTTCTAAATTTAGTAACTTTCTCAGAAGTAAAGACAGATTTTTGTACTTGAACATAAGATTCATCATCGCCTCCGTACACGCCTTTGGACCAGATCCATACAACTTGTGTACTGTGCCAGATACTTGATCCCAACTATACAGGCCTCGAAATTGGCACTTTTGATCACGGAATAGAAGCAAGAAATGTTTGCTGTCACTCTTTGCAAGTTCCTTAAAACAGTGTGACTTAATCAGTATGGAAAACAGGTGCGTGTAGGAATACGAAGACTTCTGCAGGCGGCGTAGCCTACATTTAATTAAAGAGTTGAAACGCCCAGAAAAGTATCTGAGTCTCGTGCACATGATCTCTGTCTGTTCAGCACAATCAAACGAAAGATAACCGAGTTCCAAACAGGTCCAGAGTTTGTCATTCGTAACTACGTCACATGCTGACAAATTTTTGTTAGTAGAGAGAACATACATGAAAGAAAAACGGAAAACAGCGAAATATGGGGATGAAACTATAAAACCAAAAGTATGCGGATTGCAGTATGAAGCTGTAAACTTCATCCAAAATTTAGATACGTTAAAATTTGAATTCAAAATGTCTGAATCAGGTCGCATGTGACAGTATATAGAAAAGAGACGATTATTAATGATTTCAAGTCCTAACTTGTCGAAGCCGTTATATACTGAACGGGGAAACGAGAAATATTTTCTAAAACTTACTGAAACTTTGATGTACGCTAAGGGCAAAATGAAAAAATTTCGCAAACTAATAAAAGACCACTTACTTCCAAAACTTTCTTCTTCGTTTCATCGTTCACAGATCCTGCGAGTACGCTGTACTGTATGGCATTACAAACGATGCTCCGATTCGATTTTTGCGAAGGTCTGACGTACAGTTTGAGCGCTGCAGATAAAACCGTTAAAACAGTTGTTAAAAGACGAGTGACAAACACAGAGCACGTATGTAGTATCACCGTTAAGTTGCCAGTAATAGCTGAACAACGATTTAAGGCACAGACATGTTCAAAGAAATTTGGATTAATTCCTGTGGTTACGGGCAGAGTTCGAACCGTAGCATAGGCCTGCCTTAAGCTTTGAATTGTAAGCTTCTGTATTAAACAAGCAACGTTTAAGTAGTGAAACAGGCTACGCTAAGTTTCTGTTGCTCAGACTTGATCTTGTCTGATTTCAAGAGATTCACAAAAGAAAGCAGACAATGACCAAAGTAAAGCATCGCATGCCAAAGCGACTCTCGAAGACGTGTTAGCAATAACATACCTGAAATTAACCCTGAACAGGACGGCTAGTGAAATAATGGCAAGCTGGGTATCGATTGATTGTTTGAAAAAAATTTTTAAAAACACTGTCAGGCGTTCACAGTGCGTCGAAGCAGCATGTAAAGAAACAAACTACCTATGGTTTCAAAATTCGAATTCGTTAGACGAAATCAAACAGCATATTCGTAAACAAAGAAAACGTTGCTGTTGTGATAAAATTAACCGTTTGCATAAGCAGAACGTCTCTCGCTTGTGAGTCCATGCATTTTCGGCTATTCAACACCCCAAACCAAAAGAGCAGCGACTGCAACGTAGGAAGCAATCACTTTCCGAACGCAAATCTGTTTCCATCTCGTTCATCCCTGTTGCATATGGCCTTCTGACAGATGCTTGCGGTGCGTTGGTCCCACGCCAGGAATTCGAAATTTGTTGTGTGCAGGTTCGTTGATCAATAAATTTTTCAAGCAGAGCCAACCACTGCCTAATCTCTAGCCCTAATAAGAGCACTTATGCACAAAAGGGAATGAAGTCATACCTTACAAGATCCAGCGATTCTCTCTCATTACGCCATCAAGTGCCGCAGCCAGCACTGCTGTTCGTAGTACACTATCGTCTTGGTCGTCCCAAATTACAGTGGTAGAAATCCGTAAAACAGTAGTACCCTCATTGAGGCAAGGATAAAACAAAATGGGTTTTGCACGAACGTGGCACTTCCTTAAGAATCCAGATATTTGACAAGCTACTGAATGCGCAAGAATGTAGAACTTCACATGGCAACGTTCTTATTTAATTCAAATTGTTGAAAGTACTTAAACTAGTCAGTATCCTCTATCGTATCGTCTACACGCTGCACTTTCGGATTTCTTGTACGGAATATTCTTTTCAATTTTTGACGATTCAGAGTTAAGGAAGAGCCGCTTTCGCAGCAGTTTTGCATAAACAAATCGTTATGGGCGAACCCGCGCTTCGTTTACTACATCAAGACAATATCACCCGCGGATTCGAGGTTAACAGTCAAACGTTCTACAGAATCAAAATTTTGTCCCTGTTCAGATGATCACTGATTCGAAGGAGAAAGTCGAGAACGATGTTGAACAGGTCGCAAGAACACAATCAACGTGCATTATCACAAAACTTTTCAAAGCGCAGAGAAGACAACTCACCAGGTTCCATCGATGATGACTCCGGACATGTTTCAGCGAACACAGGAGTTTTGTTCGAATTAATCAGATCGATGTTGTTCAATGACCACGTCGGTGTATTTGACGGGGACGCAGCTAAAAATTCAAATCGCAGACACCAACACTTTCACTCCATTACTTTCGTTTATAAAAACCACCTCTACTTGTAACTGAGAAACTTATCGTTGAACTTATTTAAAGTTTACAACAATACAAAAAAGTACGTATGAATTTCACTGCGAATAAATCAGTGCTTGAAGCATTATAGATAAAGATCAGCCAAAGGAGTGGGGAGGCAAGCAAAACTGCCATTGGTTGGAAAACCAGTTAACAACAACTAGCACTAAACTACTTATTAATACAACGCTTTCGTTGCCTAGAGTAACGTTTCTTCCTTGAATGTGGGCACGCTCGAATAATCATGACTATTCGGCCATATCTATAAGCTTCTATTGTGCAAATTTAGAAAGGCCCTTAACAGACTGATAACGCAAAGGTTTAGGTTTGATCTACAAAGACGGCATATTCCTTTTTGATTGCGGATGGCAGCTTTCTCAGCCATTTTAGTCATTCGTCAGTTAGTTAATTTCAGACCTGGTTCAATTACATAGATGACGCCTGATTGTAAAGCACCACAACGCTAAATGTTAAACATCTTAACTATCTGGTACTGAGTCGCCTGCTGTGTAAGCCTGTTTGTCCTACAATTTTAACTCCGAGCAATTCGCCCACAACTTAACTGTGACAGTTTAGCTGCCTTATTAATAGAACGAGCGCAACAATTTCATAGCAAGCCTTTTATGAAAACTTTTCTCAAACTAATTTATGAATGCGTAGTTCGCTCTGCGTTGGCACTGCGGGTTACACTGGAAACACATGCAAGTAGTGGCATAGATTATTACGTATATGTAACACGAACAATTACAAGAATAACAGACAACCCTTTTAGCTCTTAAATGACGTTACATCATGTGTCTTGCAGAGCTTTTTCAGAATATATCTGGCTACTGCTGATGCTGATTCTTTGTCTGTTCTTCATACGCCGGTGTGCTCATACAATATGAAGATAACAGCATGTTCTCATGGTTTTCAACCATTTCTTTGATAGCGCTAATGGGAAAACTTACACTAGTTGGCCAACTCAGGGGTCGCATAAAGCACCATAAAAGGACATGGAATGTCTGTTTGCCTACGGATACTCCTGTCTTATTTAGTTTGTGCTCGCCTGATGATATGCAAAGAAATACATTATAAAGACCATTGAGTTTTACAATAAGCCGTTCTGCTGATCTCGCGGCCTGGTAACACTAGTGAAGGCGAGATGGTGGAATGTATAACAAACTAAGCACCAGAGCAGCACAACGAACAACCCCTTAAACAAACGACTGGTCTTCTGCATCGCGATTCGCTTATACCGCTTCTTTCAAGAACCCTGCATTAACCCAAAAGGGTATATTCACACGTCTGAAAACAATTCACATACTTCTTAACAGCAGTGAGCTCTATGCGTACTGCAACGGCAGCATGTAGTAGTTTACATTAAAAAACTTCTGGCAGACTGGCAGATTTACGTGGCGTCAATAGCTGCAATTTTTTGGTACCGCTCCGCAAGTACAAAATCTGCCCAGCAAGAAGATCAAAAAGGTATTATGTAGAACCAAACTTCTAAACAAACTGGATGTGTGGCAGGGTGCAAAAACCGCTGAATTAAAGCCTTACAGTCTTTTCGATCAAGAAGTAAAATTTAAAACCACCAACAACAACAGCGCAAAGAACTACACCCTGAAGAAGGTTCCTGACATCAAACCAAGGTGCTGGCTGAAGAGATATCAACTTGACTTATCTCTTCTACGAAGATACATTTAACCGCAGACTGTTGTGCTAGCCCTGTGGATCAAACGGCGTGGTTAAAAAAACGTTACTTTAGCCAAAAAGTTTAGTCGTAATAAAACCATTCTGAAAACGTTATAGTAAATTTAAACCACATCGTAGAAACAACTTCATAGAATCAAAAATGTCGTATTTAAAATTTAAGCCAGTCCATTTTACTAACTTTGAAATAAAATCGGAAATATTCCGAATCAACGATTTTGGGTGAAGGCCATGGGGAATCATTAAGATGGCAATTATTCATAACACCAACGTTTCGGTCGCACAACATTGACATTTTTCTATACATAACAAACGAATAACTTCCTTCTCTTAATCAAAGTTCTTTACTTAAAAAGGCCACTGTGGTGTGGACGAAACGTTGGCGCCATGTTTAGATAAATTGTCCTTTCGCCCAAAAAAATCTAGTCAGAACATAACCAGTACTATCAACAGTGTGCCAGAATGACCTTTCGAAAATATGAGTATATTTGTATTTTGCCAAAATCCTTTATTCATTTCGTCATTCACTGACGACGGAATGGCTCTATTCATCATTCACCATCCATTTCATACAAATCGTCAGCAAAATAACCCACCCGTCCATCGCGTTCGCGAAAAATCGATGTTTAGTTCGTCCTGACACTTGGAAAAATTACCGCCTTCAAACATCTTGGTTTTTCTATCATTCCCAACGTAAAGTCAAATGATGAAACAAAGGCTAGGCTAGTAACAGGAAGGGGAACTTTCTTCCAGTTATCATAGTGGCTGTAGAAACGACGAGACATCAATTTGAAGAAGAAGTATCGAGGTCTGCAGGCCACCATCGGCTCCATCCTCCTAAAAGTATGAGAGATGGGTCCAGAGAGTGGATGACGTGAAACAACTATAATTCTTCAAACACCGGTGCTCACGAATCATTTCACAGACACGATTTATCGACCATATACACAATGGCATAATCCGTGTCCGCTGCAACGCCATTCAGATCACCTATAAGTACACGAACAACTTAGCTGGGACATTCTGCGACGTTCACCAGGCGATATCATCTCCATTACAACGAATGACATCCCTGGATAGCGCCGGAAAAGAATCGGGCAGGTCAAAATCCGGTGGGACACTGTCAGAGCTAACACTGAAGTCCTATTTCAGCCGGCAATGTATGAAAACAATCGAAAGAAAGAGAAAACTGGTTGAACTTGCTAGCGGACATTAGACCTGATAGTCACAAATGGAAGGTAACGATTTGGGATATGGCGGAAGCCAGCTAAATCGGTGAAGATGACAACCGTTAATAGCAACAGTTGCAGCAACTGCTTTAGTAAAATGAGAAAATTACAACTGTAAATGGTACAGACAAGAATACTTCGCTTTTCCTTACAACATGGGTCCATAGCTAACCGCATGCAGCATCAGAGAGGGGAATTCGGTTGAGACTAGACCCGGTGGCACTGCTTTAAATGCAGTGTACTAAATTCAGTTTTTATAGTACTATTAATATCTTTTCACGTTTCGAGCTCAACTTAAGAACGTGCAAAAACCTCTTCAAACACAATTCAAGAATAACCATTCCAGTTGCATGCATGACCGCTTAAAAATTTCGGTCATACCGTAGCTATCTGCATTAAACAGAACCTGGGACTTCGGCCGAATAGGCGGTTGCGAGTGTCCTCGGTTCAAACGCATGATCCCTTTTGAACCTATACCCACAGGTGTAGAAGCCAGGCTATTGTTCGAGCTCTGATCGTTCTTTTCTTTTTCTGCTTTACGCCGCTGATATTCTTCAAATACTCTCTGCCTGAAACAAGAGTTGCCGTTGAAAGTAAGTAATAAGAGAGAAAATAAACAGTCAGAAACTTCATCCTATCTTAAGTACAGTCAAGTCAGAAAGTTTAGGCAACATTTCGACCAAAAATACACTTTTACTTGCGCATAAAGAAACCTTTTTTCGAGAAAGCTGCCCTATACGGTAGCTAAGTATATCAGTTAATCAGCATGAATCGAGTACGTCAGTGACCATGAGACAATCAGATAACGAGGCTCTGTTAGTCGGGTTGAAGAGCCTATTTTGTTGCGTTCCATCCTCACACTGCTACATATGATTAGAGCGCTACTCTACACGTTCTTCGATTGTAAAATTCTGATTTCGCACCTTAGAACCTGCTCCTGCTGAAGTGAGGTGGCATGGTGGCAGAGTGCATAAGATGACACATTCAAACTCGACGGAGGTAACGAGTTCGATTCCCGAGACTAGCGGTAATGGTCTCTACAGTACGAACTCTCTTGAACAAATAAATGACCCCATGTTGCTTCAGACCAGGATTACTCGATTGGTACAGCGTCAGACTCAGAACTCAAAGGCAGTGGGTTAGATTCCTGGTCAGGGTCACTAGCCTTTCTTCCTTCCGATATTAATAAATCAGTATCACTCAGAAAAATCTGTGGGAAGAAAACAGAAGAATACAAATTAAAGAAATCACACAGCCGCTGTCGATCCTCCTTTGCAAAAAAGGTACTTCTGGCAGGTGACATGGAAATGGAGATCAGCGCCATCATTATTAACTTCATGAAAACAAGGACGTTCGAATTAGCCCCATCATGTAAGTGTATAAAAGACTGGCATTCCAAAGATTACAAACTTTCCTTCCATCTTTCTCCTGCTTAAATGAGGGCCTGGCGTAGAGCAGGATACATAGCTGGCAGACTACGACGGTTGTACTGCTAGCCACTCACCAGTGACAGCTGTTCGAAACCAAATCCTCACAGAGTGCTCTACTCTGAATTCATTATGCTGGCGGTGGATGCGATAGCAATAGTTCACGAAGGATGGCACTTTGAACAGACTGTTGAACAACCACTCACCAAAAAACGCTGAAATAAAGAAGTAACCGGGAAAATAGGTGCAACTTACCGCGTCGGTTAGTACAACTGTGATCTACAGATAAACGGAGAAACAGTGGAACAAATGGAGAAGATGGAGAAGTTCAAATGCCTCAGGGTCGTGTGTGCTGGTGATAGAAAATGGAAGCAAGAGATCGATCAGCGAATAGGAATGGAAAGCGACATTCTGCACGAACTAGTCCGAACCGTTGTGACCAACGCTGCGTTGAGTCTGAAGACTAGGCTGTCTGTATTCAAGTGAATGCATATTCCCGGCCTACCTGCGGTCATGAATCGTGGGCCTTCGCTGAAAAAAATTCGGCCTAAGGTACAAGTAAATGGCTGGGCTCGTACTTCTCGACATGGTCCGGAGTAACCGATAAAACCTGTTTGCAGCCACTGCTCGTTCTGACTGAGAAATCACAGGTGTGATGGTTTAGGCATGTCTTGCGAATGCCAATCGAAGGAAAGCAAAAATCTACTAGTTGTCTGGTCGACCGAACATCCCGGAGACGGCCAAGAATGACCTGGGGAAAGTGTCTCAACACTCTGCTCCAGACTCAGGTTATGTTCAGCCCAAGATCAAACGCTGGCACAGGACTGGGAACGGAAACGCTGGAAATAACATGTGATGTGCCTGATTCTGCGATCGGAAAGGGTAAATGGTGGTAGAAATTCAGTGACTGAGGGCCATGTCCCGTCATTATGCGGCATATACCATAAGACCAAGCAAAGTTAAAATCATTCATCCTTTACTTTATTACACCAATACTTCTTATGTTCCTACTGTCAGTTGCTTTGCACACCTGCGGAAACTAATGCATGCTCTTTAATTGCTGGAACTGATTTTGGACCTGAAATAACCTACCTCATCGAAAGGTCCACTACCTGTTCTTAGAGTTGCAAAGTCGTACTTTTCGTATTACTTTGGTAAACACGACAATCAATAAAACTTATGATTAAGTGCCACTACGATGAGTTCTAAGCCGAGGATTCGTCTGCATAACCTTACAATTGACTTCTACATACAAGGAACCATAGAAAACAAAGAACCCCAACTTAAAAAGCCTACACTGCCACTAAATGGCATAGCAAATAGAACAAATAGCAGTTATTTGAATTATTAGAAACTGGCCCTGTACAAAAATACCTGTGCAACTCCTTCGCTCTCCGCCGCTGCTCTTCTTCCTCTTGTTTCTTCTGCTGAGCGGTACGACGAAAGGCGTTCTGTGCTTCTAGTTTAGCCTTTTTCGATTCCAACTCTTCGCGGCGCCGTATCGCGTTGGCTAGTATTTGCTCCCGGCGGCGAATAACCTCCTCGTCCTACAAATATGCAGAGAACGATGAAAATGCATTTAAACAAAATACTATCAAAGCTAAACGACGCCAGAACCTTGTAACCCTAGTAAAATATATCTTTTTCGTTTCACAAAGAAAATATCAGGGAACATCAACCAAGGCCCTTCGTCAAAACAGGCGCATTCTCTACTGCGAAACACAATTAGAATACAACTCCGCCGATGCAGGTGCCAATCCCGGTTGACAAATAAGAAGGGTTGGAGACCGTCCGAAGTTTCCGCAAAATTTCGCCCCCTGCCCTTCATGGTACTGACGCCATCGAAAACTATACCGGCTGGGTCATCGACTGGACAACCAAGGGCCGCGCAGGCTAAATCGGAACTGAGGTAGACTCCGAAAAGTCGGCAATCAGAACCCGATCATCACCCCTACCAGCCAAAGGCTTAGCAGCACAACAACGGCTGACGAAGTTCGACGGTACGACGACGAAGATACCAGTCAGCAATGGAGTCGCTACTCGTTCTGAACGGAGGCAGTCAGCGCGGTGCCATAACGGCGCGTCAGAAAAGGCTCCACGAGAACGACACCGCCAGTGGGAGCTTACAATCGTAAATTGGAATATATCCTCACTCAGAGGGAAACAGCAAGAGATAGATGATGAGGCCATAAAGTGCCAACTCGACTTTTTTGGACTGTTGTCAACGAAGCTCCAAGGCTCTAGAATCCTGAACCTCTGCGGGTGCAAGCTATTCTACTCAAGTATCGATATCACGACGGGCGCTCAGGTGGTGTTAGTGTT